CATATGCTTCATTTATCGAGGCCATGTCTTCTAGCAGAGAAGGTCTCAAAGCTTTCTGCTTTTGAGTTACAAACCCAGCAATCTTTGAATTGTGTGCACTTCTAAAAGAGAGACAAAACAGTGAAATTCTAGAATAGGATCAACTGAAAGGCCATTTCAGTTCTTTTTCAGAGAATTCTTTGTGAAATACTGCAAGACAGTAAACTGGAGATGTTAAATTTGAGAAGAAATTAGAATTAAGTCAGAGGGCTTCCATTTGCCTTACAGATTTTGTTTTTCATGAGTAAAGATTTAAAGATGTCTGTTCTCTATGAGTGAAAAACAATGTAAACATGTCTGTGTAAAGAATATAAATTTCTGCTCTGATAACTAGTGCATGGCAGTGGAAAATGCTGCGTTGTGTTCTATTGAGATAACAGAAGAGCAGTAAGATAAGAATTTTTGTTGGTTTTTCATGCAAATCAAATTGGGAATACTTTTGTGAGGTACAAGATACTGTTGTACATGAACACCAGTAGGACAGATATTCTACCAGCAAAGGACCTCGCGGTGAAGAAGGGAAGGAGAGACACGCATACTTAGAATTGGAGTGATGGCAGACACACAATTACAATAATAGTCAAAAGTTACCTGTTGCTTCAGAACTATACAGGAAAGAGGGTGACGTGGTTTCTTGTATTATGGGGAAGATGAGTGATGTTTGAGCCAATACAACCCAACCCTGGTGTGAATTCAGCAGTGTCTGCTTACCTCCAGCTTTTGCAGCCCCCTTTTTACATGCTCTATTTTACCCTTCAGCTCCCAGAATTTTTAGGGGTCTTACCCCAGTTGTCCGAGTTCAGTTGTCATGAACAGGAGTCTATTGCCTTGCAAATGCTCTCCCTTATGGACGTGGGTTTCTGGGAAAGCTGGGTGTAACAGCAAGCTCAGGCTTCATAACAAACTAGCAGAGATGGGGTGACATCAATAGAAATATATTTTCTCAAACTTCTGGAGGCCAGAATCCCAAGGTTGAGGTGTGAGCAGAGCTAATATCTCCTGAGGCATCTCTCTGTGACTTCAACATGTGGACTTTGGGAGATACATTTAGTCCATAACACTGGGATAAATGACCTTTTTAGTAACCATTCTGCTTCCTGGGTGGACACTCTCATGGATACACTCCATCATTGAGTGATAAGGTCATACCTGATGTGGAAGCATTTAAGATACAGAGAGAAAAGAGCCCCATCCTGGCATGCAGCTGGTGAAGAGGGAATTAGGAGAAACCTCTCTGGAGAGCTCCTTGGCATGTGGCTGAGCCTCCAAGCTGCACATGGCTTCTGTCCGATATCTCCACCTTGAAGAGGCACCCTGCAGAGTTTGGCCCGTGCACCACGCAGAAGGCACATGGCTCCAGGGCACACCTGGTGGGTGTGTCTAGGCCCTTGCCTGGTTCTCCCAGAGCTCCCCGCTGCCTGAGGGTGTCCTGTGCAGAAGGCAGACAGGAGCGCCTTTCCGAGGCCAGGGTGATGGAACTCCTGAGCTCATTTTGTTCTTCCCGTGCCCTCCTGGCTGAGGCACTGCCCTGCACCACACCTCATCCTTTCACTTGGTTGCATAGGCCAAAGCCCCCTTGCCTGCTGCCCCTCTCAAACCCACCACCTCACTGCAGTGCACCATTAGCTGATGAACTGTGCCTCCAGGCTCTCTGGGGTTGGTGGTGTCCCTGTCTCTGTCCAGGCTGTCCTCACTAGCCCAGACCACTGTGACTGTCTCCTCACTGCCCCATGTGCCTCCACGGCCAGCCCCCGTGGTCCTTTCTTCCCTAGCTGCTGTGAGCTGGTCTTGGGAAGTCAGTGAGATTAGAGTTGTCCCCATCCTCCACATAGTCAATGGCTTCTCATTGCCCTTGGAATAAATTCGAACTCTTTACTACACCCTGCAAGTCTCTATAGGCCCTCTCTTCTCCGAGGTGTCCGTTGTCTCTCTCCCTTCCCATCCCTAAGCCAAGACCCATTGTTGCCTTTCAGTCCCTTGAACAAGCCAAACTCATTTCTCCCTCAGGGTCTTGATGCTTGTAACGCTGTCCCTGGGATGTCAGAAACCTTCTTGGGACATCTGCCTAGGAAACGGCAGCTGGATGGTCCTGCTGAGCTTGGGAAGGGGACTCTGTATGAGCATAGTGACTGACAGATGGGCGGACCGGTTGTCAGGTGGGTGAGTGGATAAGTAGATGGGTGTGTGGATGTGTGCATGGGTGGGTGGATGGAAGGAAGGATGGATGGGTAGATGGACAATGGGTACCAGACTAACATTCCTTGAGTCAGTACTTGACTGTGATGAATGATGACTCCCTATTGGCACATTCTGTGTGCTGAAACATAAGATTTTAGTTTACACAGCAGTAAGTTGAATGGGCTTTCCTTGTCTTACTGTGATGGCCTTACATTTAGAATAAATGTCTCAGTAACTTTGGCCATGTGGACTGGTTTTCCAGTGCTGGATCTTAAACCTGGTAAGAGAGCTACATTGCTGTCCCATGGTTGGTCACTGCTCCTCAAATTTGAGAGTCCTCGTTGAGGATTGCATTCCAGTAGGCTCTGGAGACAGAGGCCAAGAGGTGCTCTTCGGGATGGAATGGGGTGGAACATGGCAGCTGTGGGCACCGGGCAGATTCCATCTTCACTGCCGCCTTCCAGCCATTTTTACTCCAACCTGGAGTTGCTGCTGCCAGGAGGCTGGTGCTGCCCTGCAGACTTGTGTTTTGTCAGGATAGATGGGAGAGGAGTGGGGAGAAGGAGAGCCACAAAATTGAATCCGTATGAAGTTGAACTCTTTAGGGAAAAATGCACTTTATTACAAAATTCATCAAGAACCTTAGCACACAAAGGGTCACTTTACTGTATGTCTTCTGCAAGGTGACTTGGTTTACAGAGATTAATGCAAAGACTGATTATTCTCATTTATTCAACAAGCTTCTTACAAGTAGATTTTCAAGTAAGAGATTTGCCATCCAAACCTTACCCCTCATTTGCTGCTTTAGGGAAGATGATTGCTTTTCCTGGCCTTCAGTTATGTCTGAGACAATTGAGGGTGTCCATTCTGAATTGCTCTGCTGGGTGGTTAGGAAGCCCGGGTTCGGAGAACAAGGCCAAAGGCCAGCATGGAAGAGCTCCAGAGCCATTCCCTGTGCCCATCAGGCAGTGCCCAGCACAGAGCAGCTGTGTCTGTGCACAGAGTCCTTGCAAACATACCTCCATCATTCCGGAAATGAGAAGATGCAGCCTGGGAAAACACTGTGCCTGGGGCCTGAGGGTGTCTTTTCACATGTTTATAACTACTAATTTCTTCACGTATTTATACCCATGTGGCTTTACGAAATGCAGAGACATGACGGGCTACCACAGGCTACTTTACTTGCTGGTTTGGTCTTGGGGCTTCACCTTATTTGGAAGGAAACACTTTAAGGCAGGAGCTGGAGGGTTACAGGGTCGGGGACTGGGGAGAGGTCCACAGAGCATCCGTGTGGAGGGAGAGAGTGCAGGCAGAGGGGGTGCTGTGGGAGCTGCAGGAAAGGCACCGAGAGCGTAGGAGGAAGCAGGGACGCAGACTGAACCCAGGCCCTGGGCAGGGAGCAATCCTCTGTGGGCAGCACATTTGAAATGCAGGTCCTCTTTCTGGTCAGATTCTGAAGAACATGGTCACCCTGGCAGCCGGCGGCTGACTTGGCTCTTGTTAGAACAAGCAGGGTCACCTCCTTGAGGGTGGAGAGCCTTCCACAGCTCACTCCCTCTGCTCTATGCCCTCTTGCTTGTCTTCTTCCCAGCTGGCTGCTGTCTTCAGAGTTTTCTTCTAACAGCCAGAGCACACCGACACCCATCATCTCCTGGGTTCTTCCAGCCATGCTGCCTTCTGCGCTGTTTCTTAGGGGCCATTTGCTGCGCAGAGCTGAGAGGGCCTCGGCAGAATCCACTCGGATGGCCCGCTGATTTCAGGGCCCCTTCACTAACACTGTTGGACTGGCAAAGGGTGGGCGGTTGACACAGTCCAGCCGCACCGAGTCGAGCAGGTCCTGAAGTGCAGAAGAGGGGCGAAGAAAACAAAGAAAGACAGAAAGAATTGGGAGGGCTGACGCTCCTGCACATTGCCAGCAAAGCTTTATTGGGTACCAGCATATTTATACAGCAAAGACATACACGATTTCAGAAAATAGCCTTATCCAATAAACAGTCAAGCACAGTATTGACATCAGCGGTAGCCGGGCAAAGGTAGGCACAGCAGGGATCCGTCAGTTGCTCCTGGAATGTGTGAACAGGATGTCCTTTGTTCTCCATTCCTGTGACATCAGCAAGCGGAGGAAGGAGATAGCCTGCTCCCAACATCTCCCCCTTTTTTCTTTAATAAAATAACCAGCCTAACTCAGGCTGGGTCAAGGTATGTGCCTGTTTAGGTTGTATGGTTGAAGTAAATCCTTAACCCTCATGGGGCTGTAGTCTCTTGTTGACCACTATTAGGTTGGTACTTACAATTCAACCATATCTTACCCGTCATTGGCTACCATACTTGACTTTAGATCTTATTATATACAATTGGGGGTGCCGTCTGGGTGCCGTCTGCAATTTCAAATGATGCAGGTCTCTTAAGGTTTGTTGGATGAGTTTCCACATGCTGTGAGGACACAAGGCCCTAGTAACAGCAATAGAAGACATAAAATGCCTAGGGTTAAGAGAGGTGTGACAGCGTGCCAGACACTATTCAGGGGTTCTTTGAACATGTCTTTCATCTGATTTAATATATCAGATGCAGTTTTGGCTGCAAATAAGATATGATTTAAATGGTTCTGTGGTGACCAGGGATATAACTCCCCCTCTTCTTTTTTTTTTCCAATTGAGCTTTAAGGGTGCCATGGGCACATTCCACAATGCCTTGGCCTTGTGGATTATATGGTATCTCAGTTTTGTGGGAAATACGCATTACATGGCTGAGATCGAACATGTTGGAAGACAGACATAACTTGAATATATATATAGGTTTTAACAAACTACTAGTTAAATTGCATCCACACATTAACAGAATAGGAATACAGAAACATAACAAAGGCAGATTCACAATTACTAGTTATATCTAATGAAATTAAGGAAACTAGTTAAATAGCTTAGGCATTTGTAAAAACTTATTGACAATATGATGGATATCATCTAATTGATTTTGACTAGTTTGAGAAAAATTAGACAATTTGAAACAACACATTCTTGGAAACTGTTCACATCTTACATGCTCTTTTAACAGCAGACAGTCCACAGCAGCGCGATTCTGAAGCACTGCAGCTCGCAATTCTCTCAGTTCTTGGTTGAGTTCAGATAATACAGAAACAGTTTAATTTGTTGTTTTGCTATACACTCAGGCTAGCTTAGATATCTCTTTTAGCATTCCAACGACAAGTCCAGGAACCAGCAGGAGGAATGCAGCTGCAACTGCAATAGTGACAGGATCTCAAAGTTTCAAGTTTTCATGACAATCAGATGGCAGAGCTAGGAGAGCCTCCTGCGCTTATATTCAGGTGGTCTATTAGAGCAGGAAGAATGCGTCCCACCTCACAAACACCTTGATAGTGTGAAGAAAGGGCTTGATATGTTTTGTTATTACACAAAAATACTCAACTATTTGGAAGTCTATATCTAGAAGACTATTTTACAATGATTGAAGAATTATAATAAGAGGGTACACGAGTACAATTAATACATACACAATCAGTAATTATAATAGTACTAACAGGTACATTTAATTGGGCATCAGGAGCAAGCACTTTAGGGGGAAGAGTGATGTTTATGCCTGAGATATTAGTAAACACCGTAAGAGAAAGTCTTATGCCTATTAAATTCTTCTTCAACAGTTCACTGATAGAGGAATTTCTTGCTACACAAAAAGATGACTTGTGCAACTTTTGGCTCATGAGTTGTTGTAACTACAAGTTAGGTGAGGAAAAATTATTTTCTGGAATGAGTGATATATTTAAATACACCTAATTACTCTTATACAGTATGACAGGAGTTCTTTTTTGAAACTTTTCACAGGTATAACTGCTGATATCTTCTCAGGACAAAACTGCTTTGTAAATATCATAATGATCACCATCTCTAACAGACCAATCAGCAATATCATTCTATCTAAGTTTTCCTCTGTCATGTGTCTATACATTTCTTCTGTAGTATGTACAAACATAAGTGCCATTATTGAAAATTAAAAAAAATACTATTATTTAGTGGGCTTCAGTTTTCCGTGTTTGACATGCAGACTTTTTTTGAGGTTTTTTGATGGTCACCTTCTGGAATGACTCCTCCAGAGAATGTTGATGTTGGAAGTTCTCCTTCATATTGTGTCTGAATTCATTTTCTGGGCGGCCAGATCAAGCATTGATCCTCTGTAAAAACACAAGCAAACCCCTTGCCTCACACCGTGATATGATCTTTATGCCATAGTGAAGAACCCACTGGAGTCTACTACACAGGAACTGTTGTTGTTTCAGAAAAGGAAATATCAGAAAAATGTACCTCTACCGCTGACAGTCTATCACCCCCCAGAACATCAAAATTAAGGATATGTAAAGCATGTACCAATCGTCAACTTGCAACTAATTTTATCATATCAGGAAGTAATCCCCCCTCTTTGTATTAATAATGTTTAAGAATAAGATCACAATATTCAATGAGATCTTGACTTGTAGAATTGTCTGAAATGCCTGTGTTATGAGTGATGTTATATAGCTGAAAAAATGTATGTAACACAGAGGAGAGGTAAACTGGAACCTTGTCAGTCAGCTTAAGAGATAAAGCTTAAAACATTTTATCAGCAACACTTGAAACAAGAAGCTCAAAATCATTTTTCTTTAGTTTGATTTTAAGTAACTAGTACTCAATTTGCTGAAATCTAGTTCTTTACTAGTTTAGTAGTAATTAAACAGCGATTATAAACAAGAAAAGATTTACAAATGACAATGGTTAAAGATTTGATGAGAACTTACTGTAAGATAGTTGATATCTGGAAGTTTGGATATTTCTGTAACATAAAACACTCAGTAATAAAACCGAGCATTATTCCTTTTTACAGCACTTTTTAGGTAAGTATATATCAGGTAAATAAGCCAAATTAGTCAAATATTTTATTTGATGAGGAGAAGAAATTCTACTGAAATGTTCCAGGGGCCCTCTGGAAAATATCAGAGTTAATTGAGAGGTAAAAATACTTTTTTAAATTTTGGTTTTGGGAAGCTGTCAAAAGTTTTTAAGGCACTTGCCTAAACAGAATTATAGTTATTAAATAACATTTATTATTTAACTAGAATGATAATAAGAAAGTTTAAAAGCAAATGCAGAAGGTTACACAGTTGTTAACACTTAGCTTAGTCTTTTTAATATTAAGATCTTATTTTCTTAAATACTCAAACAATTCATTAAGACTTTAAGCATAAGAAACTGTTTTAATAAAACAATTAGAGAACCCTTTGCAATCTTTCAATATTAAGAGCAGACTAACAGTTAAAGAATATTTTGTCTTTCCAACTGAAAACAAAACTCCAATTTTGCTGTGTACTCAATATTAAGACTCACTGGCTTTAATTTCACATAGCATGACTATATCTGTAAGAATATAGTAATTTATTCTTCATTTGCCCCATGGTCCAAGCACATAAGCCGGTGAGAATTATGCCTGGGCTTGCCTGGGGCTTGACTGGGTTTATCCTGCCTCATCTCTAAACATCCTGACCTTCCCCCAAAGCAACAGGCTGAGCGGATCGGCCACAACAAAAGGCACCACGCTGCTGCACCACACTGCTCTCTCTCTTTGTCTCAGTCTCTTTGTCTCCCTTTAAATAAATAGCTGTACAATTAACTTTCTTTTACTCTCAACAAAACGAATTTCCATTCTTTATACTTTCTCTTATTAAAACACATCTTTAACATACTAAAATATTTTCCTTATTATATCAACTAGTTTTCATTAGAACTTAAAACTATTTGATACTTTAACTTACAGAGAACACTGAAAAATATATCATTGTAAACTGTTACACTAGCATTTTTCAAATTGATAACATTTATGAACATATTTTGTCATTTTTGGAAATGTGCCCTATCGCACAATTTCTCATTAAGTACAAAATATGTCTATATAGCTTAGCAAACTTTAAGAATATTGGTTACCACAAAAATTCTCAAGGTGTTTGCAGATATATAAACTGTTATACATTAATACAGTATTATGACTAAAAAGTTTATTTGCTGCACTAGTTTACGTATTTTTAGCAACCATGCTAAATTACTTACAAAACTTTTACCAAACATTAGACAAAGTCAAGCTTTTCTTTAAGTATTTTCTTGAAATATTTAACAGGTAACATCAACTTAAATGACTTTAAGTAAACTATGGCAGCTAATAACTATAAGGACATGACCATTTCAGTTAAGCTTAAATTAGCATTAATGCATAATATTTTTTATTAGATTTTCTGAAAGTTTTAGAATACCCAATTTTCACAAGCGCTTGTTTTTAAATCAATTTTATTAATACCTTCTGGAGGTAGAAAATATTTCTTTGCTCCAAAATCTTACGACTACAGACTATCTACTGTTAAAAGAACATATGGAATGTGAACAGTTCCCAGGAATGGGTTGTTTTAATTTGTCTGATTTCTCTCAGACTGTTCAGGTACAGTTGGACAATATCCATCATATCATAGACAAATATCCACAAATGCCTAGGGTGCCTAACTGGTTTTCTTGGCTTCACTGGAGATGGCTGTTAATTATAGATCTGCTTTGGTTATGTAACTGTACTCCTATTATGTTAATGTGTGTGCACAATTAAATTGGTAGTTAAAACCTATACATGCTTAAGTTACTCTACAAGAAGATATGGCAAAGAAATAATCAATCCTCCCATATTTTCTTCCATATGCTACCTCTATAGCTTTTCTTCTTCCTTCCTAATTACAACCCTTAAATAGAATTTGTGCCTTATATCGAATTTACCAAGTATCATAATTCCTCCAAGTGGTAAAGATACCTCAAGACAAATGCTGGGCGTAGAAGCCACAGGGCATAAATCTGCAAAGAAGTAAAAAGCTCACCTTTTCAAACAATATGGCTTCTCTCTCACTTACCAACTTTACATCTCCCTGTATGGCCCTGGAAGATGACTGGTTAGCCAGAGATGGGNAATAATAATAATAATAAAGGGAGAAATGTGGGATCCACATATAAATCAAGTATAAAAATCAAATATTCATATTTGACCTGATTGTTTATAGTTCATAATGCATGATCAAAACCAAAAGTTTCTGTGATGACTGCCCTTGTACTGTTCACCATGTAAGAACTTATTCACTATGTAAGAATTTGTTCACCACGAAAGAACTTGTTTGCTATGCTTCAGAAGATTGGAGACTGATGAGAATTAGGCTTGAGATGGATTAATGATTGTGCATTATTTTATTTATTTATACAGAATTTTATTGTTGTTAACAACCATTTGATCAATAAATATGAGAGATGCCCTCTCCAAAAAGAAAAAAAAAGAAAATATTTTTTGTTACACACTTAGACACACAATCATACAGACTGAGACATAATGACTACAGTTAGCAACACTTTTCATATAAAAACATATACACAAACTGACATAAAGATTTGAGTTTTTAATATTCAATGGTCTTCTTTCTTCTTAGTTTATTCGATTAAAAGTACCTCAGTTTTCAAGAATACACACTAAGGGTGAGGATTAGAACCTCACCCCCCCTGTTTTGAGAAATCTTCTGCATCCGTGGTTGTTTTATTGCCCTTGTCTAGCTTGGATTAACACTTAGTCTATAGGCACACACCTGATCATCTAAATTTGCTCTCTTACAGCACTAAACTATGTTTTCTACCTTTATCTTGCATCTACCTACCACTTCAGCATTTTATTTAAAAATAATAATAATAATAATAATGATAATAATAGAGAAATGTGGGATTCACATATAAATCAAATATAAAAATCAAAGAAATATTCATATTTGATTTGATTGTTTATAGTTCATAATATGTGATCAAAACTGGAAGTTTCTGTGATGAATGCCCTTGCACTGTTCACCATGTAAGAACTTATTCACTATGTAAGAACTTGTTCACATGTAAGAACTTGTTTGCTATGCTTCAGAAGATTGGAGACTGATGAGAATTAGGCTTGGGGTGGATTAATGATTGTACATTGAGCATTGAGTCCCCTATACAGAATTTTATTGTGGTTAACAACCATTTGATCAATAAATATGAGAGATGCCCTCTCAAAAAAGTGAAATGATGTAATTGTTAGAAAGAGAACAGGGAGTGCAGTTAAGAGCATAAATGAAAACAATATATGTTGGAGGTTGACGGTTCGCATCAAATATCACCTGAGAAAATATTTAATGTTAAATATGTATGGAAAAAGGAAATATAATTTTGTGATTACTTCAAAAAAAAAGAATAAAATGTGAATATTTCATCATTAAAAAAAAGAATACACTCTAAGGGCAAGCAGTTTACATAACTGGGTGAAGGTTTAGACAGCCCCAGACCAACAGGGCTGATGAAGGCTCTGAACTGATAGGGACTGTGTGTGTCCAGGGGGCTGGAAATGAAATGCATGTACAATTCTAGCTCCAGTCATTTAAAGCCAGGCTATATTGCAGAAGATAAATTTCTTCTATCTCAGGGAGTTTAGTTTAAGACTTCTCAATTCTCAAAGACAATATGAACTTACTAAGTAGAATAGATGTTCACTAAAAGAATTTAGAAAACTAGCTCCATATTGTAGTAGTTCATGGAACTTTTGACTATTTTCTTCCCTTGTGGCAAAATATATTTAGCTGCATAACATTATATTGCATACTTCTTTTAGGGGCCAGGCCTCTCTAATCAGAGTTTGTACTGGGGCCAGTTTTGTGTGCAGAAGATAAGATACTTCTTTTTAGAGTTTAGGGATTGAACTGCTCTCAGTTAGTTTTGCCAGTTTTTTCTGCCTGAGCTTTAGTCATTCCTCAAGAGGCCCCTGCCTGTCTGATAAATGCAGGGACTGTGTGACTTTTCGCTACTAGAGCCCTGATCTGAGTCACAAGCTTGTTTGGCTTCCCTGGGGCTGCTGAGGAGGAAATGCTTAGCACCAGGATGACTGCCTCTAAGGAACACAGTTAATAGAATAGAGCTATTTACATGTTGATCTGAATGTTCAGCTTAATTACAGGCTCTATTTACATTACACAGGAGAAAAGGAACGCAGGCCTAAGAGGACTGCTTTGAATGGGGAGCAAGATAAAAAAGCAATCTTTAAGGTCAATGATAGCCATATTCCAGTCTTTTGGAATCATAGCTGGAAAATGGAGGCCTTGTTGTAAAGGTCCCATAGGTTTAAGAACCGCATTAATTTGCCTTAAGTCATGTAAGAGTCTCTAATTAAAGTCCACTGGCCAAATGTGTCCACCGGAACCTTTTTTGGACCATGGGTAGAATAATAAGATTGAAGTCCCTTTCCTACCTCATTCCACAATTCTGTCTACTGTCCCTTCTTCTGGGAACTAAGGGCACATTTTCTCAATAAAATCTAAAAATCTTTCTAATTGGGGTTTCCCTACTTTAATTCCTCTGGTGGCTAACAACCTCTTTAGCCCACAAACATATAACTGTTTTCTCCCCGCCTGTCCCATATTGGACTCCCAGAAAAATTCACTTACCACATCCACGTTGCTTTCATGCCTCTTCTCTCGTGCATCTTCTCTGGTTACCCTGACCACAGCTTTCTCTTCTCGATGTGGTGGCCCTCACCTTCTCCCTCTCCTTCAGGTCCCTGTTCGGGCGCCACTTGATGCGATCCAGCCATACC